AATATTTTCAAAACACGCAAAGTGATAAGACAAAACCATACAGCATCTCAAAATAACCTTTTTAGTTTATCATTTACTGGAATCATTCATAACAATAGCTACAAAATTGTAGAAATGCTGTTCTAGCTTCATCATACTGTCAAGTTCTTGGTCTTGTTCCGAATCCAAGAAAAAATGAGAAATGTGACTGGGGGTTGAAAAGAGAGCAGTTTTTTCAAACTTAACCCATACAAATTGTTAAGTGTCATTACAGTTTTCAGGACACGTCGCAAAGAGCTAACTAGAAACTGGGCTAGCGGGAAATACCTACCCATAATACAAAATAGTGCCTTTCATGGAGCATCAGTCACTAAACGCATCTTTCCTCCATCAACAACTCACTAAGAAACTCAACGTCTCTCTACAAACAAGGTCAGAGAACTCAAGGTCGGATTACTGTAGTTCACTGTTTCTCACCTTGGATGTAAAACCAACGATAAGACTCCAGATGGCACAAAAACGGGACTGCCTGGCTCCTGCAAGGTTTAGGCTGGTATTAGCACTCCAGTCTCTCCATTGGCTTTGGTCTCCTCCTGCCAGCTAAAGGTCTTGGCCCTAATCTTCAAAGCAATTAATGGGCTAAGCCTCTGTTACAGTGAAGACTGCATTTTGATTTATGAAGAGCTAAGAAAAAGAGTGCCCTGGACAATGCAGTCCGAAACAGAAGGCATGAAACCTGCATGTAACACATCCTTAGTCAAAGGTGGCAAATCAGGAAGCGAACTTCCCCAGGAGGCTGGATAAAACCCAACTCTTGTCACATTTAGAAAGGGCTGTGAAGTTTTGTAACTGGATAAACCTTTCTCACTATCCCTTGAGTGACCTCCATACCAACTGCTTCCTCAAGAGCAGTTGCCCTCACGTATGTTATTCCCTAAGCACCAAGTTTAAGAAAGTTTATTTTCTCTGGACTTTCAATATGAGGCTGATGGATGACTATGAGTGAAACTCTTCATGATGTTGAGTGCAGTTTTTTGTTTGTCTAAAAGGCTGAGTTCACGCTTCAACCTTTCCCTCAAGATGGAGGAAGACAATGATAACAGGACAACAGAGACAACGACAGTGTAATGACATAGGCTTCTTTTTTTAAGGAAACACACTGGAACTATGAACAGAGCAGTGTGAAACCTCAGAACACATCGATTAGTAATGTGCCTTGCTCCTACAACTGTGGATTGAATGTTGCTTGTTTGGGTATGATAACAGTAGAAGAGAAAAGAAAAAAAGAAGAAAAAAAAGTCCTTTTTGACTGCATGGAAAGGAAAAGGGGATCAATTTGTCTGGTGTTTGTCATTCACCCAACTTCAGCTGGGACAACATGGAGCCGTTTTACCAAGCCATGTAATGGCTCCTCCTTGCAGCCTTGTTCAGGAATCATGCGTTATTTCCATGAGCCTACCCACTTGCTCAGCCACAGGAGCTAAAAAGTTCAGCAAGGTCTTGTGTGTCTCTGTATACCATGTTTAACTGAAAACAGGACATTATAACACAAATTTAGAAGAATCTCAGCAGCTGACAGGGCAAAAACTTAAGAATTTTTGTACCTTCAAACAACAATGTAATAATAGCGAACAATTTGCAACGGCTAATTTCGATATTTTTCTTGTAATACCTTTCAGTTTTCTATGGCCTCTCTAGGAAAATGACAATTTACTGCCAAGACTTCACACTTAAGAACATAAAGAGTGGCTTTTGGCATCTCTACCAGAACTCCACCTCTCAGCCTGGCTATCCCAGTCGGCCAGATTCTTCTTACAGACTCAACAGTAGAGATGAATTCTGTCCAACTTACAGCCATCTAAAAGCTAAGCTTTTTATATAGTCAACAGTATCTCTAGGCTATCCATCCCACCTATCTCAGATAGGATGAGTCACCCTCCAAACACGTGCCATTCTTGACTGCACTAGGCTAATAACTTCACTTTAGCTAAATCAGGGGAAAAATAAAAAAATAATCTTGTTTGCAGTGTCTCTTAAACCACAGAGACTTCAGTCTTGCACTGGCTAAGGACAACCTCCTGAGCTGCCTGCCCATTGCAACTTTGTCAAGTAGAGTATAACAATAGCAAATCCCACATGCCTGGGCATGTGCTTGCCACAATCTCTCTGTCACATCCCAGGAAAAGAGGGGCCATCTTTCAGCCCAGTGCCTCTGGCTTTGGTTTCAGTTCTGCTGTCACTGCACGTGCGTCAGCAGCAGTCATCCTGGGTGAACGGTGCAGCCACTGCCCTTCCACTATGTCTGCAAAAATAGCTTTACCTTGTCATCACAGCCTTGACTCTCTATAGCAACCCTAAAGTATCAGCATGAAATAAAGATTCAGCTCACCATTGCTGATTTTCTTTCCCAGGAAAGAAAATGATCCCTAACAACAAAGAAGGAAAATGAAGCCTAGAAATTTTTCATAATATAGAAAGATTTTCCACATTGATTTCAGCCTGAAACAAAAATTCTTTCTTTGTTAGTTTTGTTTCAAAACATACTTCTAACACCTGCTAGTATAAACCAAACATTTATGTGTGAAGTCTTGCAAATAACATAAAACAGTAATTATTAAAAAACACACATTAGTATGAGTTTCTGGTTAGCAGCTGCTCAGTGCTTACAAATATATTTCCTACAATTGTCAGGATATTAGTGATGGGCAGATGCTCCAGCCAGGATATTCCCGCTGGGCAGTGCTCCAGCCACAGCACCCTGCGCTGGCATCTCTGATTTCACAAATAGAAAGGGTCAACCCCCTTGGGATGATTAGAGAAAAATCGGGAAAGATGTCTGGGAAGATACTGCAGGACCTAGTACAAATGAGCCAACAGCCAAAACTCTCTTCTCAAATGATGTGAGATTCTCATCCTCACACACAGCAATAAACTCAAGCAATCAAAACTGCTAGAGATGCCAGGCTTTCAGACATAAGGTTCAATCTAGACAGCCCAAATGACACTCAGATGCTTCATCGCCAACAAAAGACAACTGTTAGGAAAACCAAAGAAGTGGAAGGTAAGCCTCTAGTTACCCTTGAGCCATTTAAAACTCTTTGTCCATCAGCAGGACTCAGAAATCCTTGTGACTTTGGTGCAAGATACGAATCATGTATACTTGGCTTTGTTTTTTTTTAAGTAATGGACAGCAGAAACCTATTTAGAGTTCACTTATGGCAAATATAGTAAAGAAATGGTGGAGACGGTAAATAAGGATTTGTCGCTACATCTTTTTTTGGAATGGGAAGGTAAAATTTTCAAGTGTTCAGGGATGACGTGACTATTGCAGAAGCCCAAGAAGAGTACTGCCACATGCATCCACGGACGCAATATAAAGCCAACGCTGAGCCAGTTCAGTGAAAAGAAACAGATATCAAAAAAAAAAGATCATGCCTCTAACAGATTAGACTTTGGATAGGAAGCATAATTTCTCTTTTAAATAAAGCTCACAGAAGAATGAGAAAAGAAGAAAAAAGAAAAATAACCCACCATCAACAGCACTGCAACCCACAGAGCTTGCTGCACTTAACACCCTTCTCCAGGCAAAGCCCTTAGGCACCAACACCACCACTACAATGATGGATCCCGTATCATGGGGAATAGATACTCAGGTTCTGTATATTGTGCTTCTAGGCAAAATAACCCACACTGGAGGAACATTACCACAAACGTTAATATTATGGCTATAAGCAACATGCCTGTAGTTGCCTCCCACCTCCTACCACCTCAATTACATAAATAAAAGGACTGTCATATGTGGAATACTTATCTGTCTTTAAACAGAAACTACAGCATTGAATTTTGAAAGAGATTAAAAGACTGCAGAGATATAAAACTTTTTCTTTAATCACCCCAAATTGTGCTGCTCTCAGTTTCCACTACTGGAATCCATTCAATGCTGCATCTCAAAATTTCAAAGTGAGCTGCAAAAGCAAGTTTTGCTAATATTTCTGTACATTTTAAATATTTTAACATTCCTAAACATACTTATTGTGGAAAAAGTTGCACTGTGGGAATATTATTTCATTATATATTCATTCACAAAAAGTCATATAGTGGGAATGGTAATTACATTACATTTAAATAAATACTTCTTAATTTACAATAAACAAACAGTTCCTTGGTCAAAATGGGACTACACAAAAATGACATTTACTGTTCTGATTTGACTTTTATTTTACAGAGCTTAACATTTTCAGTCATGAAAAATTAAAGAAAAGATGCTTACAGTTCTGTTTTTCAGCACTTACTGGAACGATTATCAACACTAACAACTCAAGCAAGGATAACAAGAAAAAAAACCCCCAAAAGTAAACAAACAGTATGGTAAGCACATGATAAACATGAATCTGTCTTTTCCTACTTGTGTAACCAAAAAAAAAAGCGCGCCTCTAATAAGCTTCGTTTTCATATTTAGAAAAAAATTAATTAAAAAGGAGACTGAAAGTAAACACATGTGCTGTTAATTGATCATAGTAGGTATGTAGTAGGTATGTTGCTTACAAGCAACCTTTGTTTTAATTCGAACACCACAAGATTAGCTTTTACACCTGAATTCCTTTCACAAGTGGTAAACTAAATGAGGACCCTCATCCTCAACTCTTCCAAAAAAGGAAGCTCACTTGAATAGTGAAAGGTTGACCCAAAGCTCTATGAGATGCACAGGCTTCCCATGCAAATATTAGTTCCCACTTCAGAGAGCTGCATGCTGCACACACACATACACGCATACACACACACTCTCCAAGTGCCTTCTCAGGCTGATGTCCTGAGCTGCAAACCACATTAAAAGCACATCATAGACACATGATGCTCAGTCCCAGTCAGCTGGGATACAAACACACTACTGGATACTTTTTGTGTCATATATCAGCTAATATTTTGTTGAAGAAATAAAGTAATTGCTGCTTTTCTACTCATAAGGGGAAGGTTCAACATGGAAAAATCTTTCTAAGGAGTTAATTTAAAACAGTACTCACTGCTATCCGCAGTATGGAAGCTTTCACAGAGGTCCATTTGTCTTGTCTGCGATCTATGACAAGAATAAATCCAATTCCAGCATCTTGTAAACTAAGTTTGGAGGAGGAAAGAAGAAAAAGAGAAAGTTTAGTTAAAAATACAAATGAAACTCCTCTGGTTCTCTCATTCAAAAAAGCAGTTAAAAAACTAGTTAAAAAGAAAAAAAAAGTAGCTTGACCTTTTTTGTGCAGAATCTTCTTCATCTAAACATCTTAAAGAAAGATATACTATACTATACACCATTGGAAAGAAGCAGCAGTCCCAAATATGTTCCATGGAGCCTCAAACCATATTCAAATAATGAATTCTTCTTTTTCATGAAAGATAGTTTTTACATTTCTTGTACTGAGATTATTTCAGAGGAAAATAAACGCCTTCAATTCTCCATTGTTTTGGTCCTGATATAATCCCTCCTTCATGCCGTTTTCAGTATAATTTCAGGATCAAAACAAAGTTATTTTCCTTTTGCATCTGCTTTTAACCTTCTGTTTGAATTGTCTTCCTCCTCACTGATATTTAAAACTCCTTAAAAACGCAGGTCCTTCCGATCATTTCCAGGGTATTGCTCTGGGCATCTGAAATTCTCATACGCCTCCAGGTTGCAAACTTGTTCCCAGGTGCATTTTTACATTCACCGAAACAAAAAATCCCTACGGCATTTAAACACTCCAAGTCAGAGATGAGAAAAATGAGATCAGATGCGCTTTTCTGGAATGGAAACATCTGTGAGAGAGATCCCGCTCAAATCCTTGCGTACGGGTGACCTTTCTTTTTCGCCCGTGCTCAGCTGCATGTGCTACCGAGTCCCAATCAAGGGATCTGCTCCTGTTTTGTAATTCCCCATCTAAGCCAATTGTGCAATGCCAGCAGCAGCCCTTGCCAGCCAATCGCAATCAAAATGGAAATGACAGGCAAATACAAGGCAGACGGGCTCGGATTTGTTATTTTTCTCATCTATTTTTAATATATGTGCTGTATTTTCAGTCCAGATAATAATTTACTGCAAGGCCTACTGTCTGCACTGTGTGACATTTAGAAACACTGTGCATCGATTTGTTATCATCATACCTTAAAAGACAATATAAAAATCAACACAACAGAATGTCAGGATCCCTTATTCAAGATTGCTGAATCATGAAAACACCAGCTTTGCTTTATAAGATTATGTTGGTAGCATAATAATAATAATAATAATAATAATAGAATGTTGAGGAGGATGAAGAACACAGGTACCCGGATGTGTCATCTTAAGCTATTCTTCAAAATTACAAATTTAAACACGACTCACAGTCTGTCCCCTGTCTTTTACAAACTGTAATATCTCTCAAATTTACAGACTAAATATTTAGGGGGAAACATGAATAATCATAAAAAATGCAAAGAAACACTTGCTTTCTTTCAAAAGCAGCTAAGCAGTCATTTTAACATTGGAGAATATTAGAAATGACCCCTCACTGCCCACATTCAGCGCATGTTACTTAACTCCTGCCTCTGGGTTAGGACAACACTGATAAACAACATCTGAGTACTTGCCTTGTAAGCCTGAATAACCCTTGCAGACAAACAGGGCTTTATACTAGCAATATGCTTCCCACTACAGTAAATTTCCATGATTTACTAAAGCTTCCCCTCTTCCTTCTCTTTCTTTATTTGAAAGGCAAGAGGAGGAGAGAGATCCAGATTGATTTTAGCATCTTCCTCTTCCCCGTTTAAAGTTCCCACCATTTTAATCTTTAGTCACTGAGCAAAATAAAATGCTAATAGCAACCATGTTCCACAATAATCAGGTAGCAAAACAAACTCCATGGGTCACACAGCCTAAACGTGGATGAATGGAGGCAAAAAGGTGCTACAGCTATTCCCCCAGTGGTTTACGTGGATTTTGAAGGGTATTAAGACTCTTAAAGAGCTATTTCCCCTGCTCAGTTGAAGTCCCTGGGAGTCCTGAAATTTTTGCATACTTCCTCAGTGGAAGCACAATCTCAGATCCCACAGAGTATCTAAATGCAACATCTGTATCATATTTCAAGAAACTATTGACATTTCTGCATAACAGGAATAAAATCAAAGCCTCTGACAGAGCATCAATCAGATTTCTCTCCAGTAGCACAGGGAAAGACAGGCTCAGCTGGGATCCCGCAGAAGATCAAGATGGCAGCTCCACACACTTAATCATCTGCCTCAACACCTAGCAATAAGCAGAGCTTAGTACCATTCTCCTAGAAAAAAAGACAAGGCTTACTTAAGTGGAAGAGTTGACAAAGGAAAGCACATCTCTAAGATAGCCCAAAAGACGTCTTTAGCCAGCCTTCTTTTTCCACTGGATCAAATACATCAGGTGGTTGCATGATTCAGAATGCGTCCCCCTTCCAGGCTCAGAAATAAAAGCCAGGATTCCCCACTGCTGGCTAGAAGAGAGCCAGGGGCAAAGTCTTGAGCATCTGACTTCAAATCGTTAACACTCCATTAACATAGATCGCTTAAAAAAAAATTAAATGTTCTGTTCTGAACCAATCATGGTGGGAAAAATACTTGTTATCTTGACAACAGTGTCTTGTTACAAAGGGCTGGCTATTGAGTCTGGGATCCAGCTCCAGCAAGTCGTAGGCAGGAAGCAACAAACCAAACTAAGACATTGTGTACAACAAAGTTGAGAACATTATGAAGACAACAAAGTCACGTATTCAAGAAAAGTAAATATTGGAAACAGGTCTGTTTGCCAGTGCACCCTTGCTCTACTGACCTCTCTTCGCTGCCACAAACACCTGCGTACGTAGTTACAAGACAGTTTGCAAGACCCCCCTCTCTTTCAGGGCACAGGATGAACGGTGCTCTGGGAAAAAGCAGGTATTCAATTTTCCTGTGGCTCCTGATTTAACTCTGAGTGCCAGCGGTCCCTCGTTCCCTCAGCGATATTTATTACATTGTATCCAAATACTGATTTCCTCTCCCCCCCGCCCTCCATTTGCTTGAGAGTAAAGCATTTTGGCTTCTGCTCTGTGTCTCAGCAGAAGCATGCTCTGATGGACACCGCCTGACCTGCTCATCAGGCTTTACCCCCCGCCTTGCTCCAGTTACATTGTACTCATCAGCTTAGCCCAGGTCTTCTCACGCCTCTCTACCACGCTCCAATAAACTTGTCACCACCACCCACATTTGTCTCTCCCATTCATCACTTCAACCACCGTCATTCCTTGCTGTCAAGAACAGCTCAAAAAGTCTTGGCACTTTATTTTTTTTATTTTGTACTGTCAGGACAAATGACCAAATCAGTTCTTACCCCACCCCTACCCAAATATCGCACTCCCCTCATCCTCCAACCTGAGTCTCCCTCACCCTACGTCCCACTCAATCTTTCAGTATCTTCCCTCGGGTGGACACTTCCCTTGGCCGTGGTCCTGCCTGTCGAGTCAGGCAGCTTGCCTGCGCTGCCCGCCTGTCAACAGGCGGCACTCGCATCCCATCAGACACTCTTCCTGCTCTCAGCCCTGGTAGCGGACCTGGCTCATTCCGCAACCACGGAGAAGCTCTTGATCAGCCCCAGGATGACGCGGGGCATTTCTGACAACAGACTCGAGTAGCTACTGAGCGTCTGTGACCTGGGATTTAGGCGAACTTTTCTCAAGGTATTTCCTTGACACAAAGGCCATCATTCTTCAAAGTGTCAAGTCCGAGTCCTTGACCAAAGGATGAAGACACTTGAGCTTCTAAAACAAAAAGCTGTTTCAATCTTTGAAAAGCAGAGTGGATTTGTTCCCTGGCTTCTTGGGAACAACGCATCTATTCTGGCTGAACTTTAAACCAAAAACTCAGGTGAGACCTCACGAATAGAAAGAAAATTTGGCAGAGTTGTAAATGACTGGAAACCAACCCTGACGGTGAGAAACAGCAGACAACCTTAGCAGAAGCACCTGCCTACTAAGGATTCTTGACATTTCCCTTACAACCTCTGTTTTCTTTAATGCATTAACTTGTATCCGGTGTACTTTCTGAAACATAATTTATATAAGCTTGTAATTCAAAGTTAGTATTTCCTTCCTTTGTTTCCCTCCTAACACAAAAAAAACCCCCAACATCATGAGATAAGCTCTGTTCTTCTGTTTATTCACCAGCACAAAGAACAGAACATTTTTAGAAAGGCAGAGAAACCATCCCTGCTCTGCAGGAAATACGTCCGGCAAACTCACAAAGGCCAGGTCAGAAAGGTAGAAAGCAGGGGAAGGGGTCACAGAGGACAGATAATGGGAAAAAATGCAGCAGCGGGTAGACTTTCGGCTCAGTCCTCTCCCTCCGTCTTGGGGAGCCACTGTTAACACTATTTGGAGATGGTGAGAGAGTAAGGTTGAAGTACCTGCCCAACAAGCACTGAGTTCTCCATGTAGACTGGAGAGCAGGAGCTGAATTTTCCACTTAGCGACTCCTCAGCTTTAGATTATGGGGACATCTCCCTCTTTGTCTTGTTTGCAAGACTTATGAGCTCATGCACTTGGGAGAAAGGGTGGGAAAGCTTACAGTACATAGGACTGCAGAAAGAAACTTCCCTCTGGGGTGTGTGGAAGCAATTACATAGTCATCATCTGAAAGATCCTCGCATTTCTCCAAGGTATGGGTGGTGACAACTGCTACACAAATTGCTTCTACACTGCTGTATGAAAACTGTTTGCATACATTGCTCTCTATTACAAACAAAAAAAAAGCAAATCTTCAGGTTCATCGCAGCGACTCAATAATACCAAGCTTTTGGATGTTTGAAATTCTGTGCAGCATTTTAGGTTAAATTATTCCAGTTTAATAAAAGTGAATTTCAGTCTTAAAGCCTTATTATTAAACAGTTGGCTTACATTACACTTAGGATTGTTCCCTACCTTGACTACCTCTGCCTCTACATACAAACTGACTAGAAATTCTCGCTCTCAATGGCTGAACAGCTATTTTGCTAGTAGGACTTCAGTAATATTCAGTGAAGAATTACTGCATTGAGCAGAGCACCAAGGTAATGTCTGCAGCAATCTGCATTACAAGCAACTGAAGCTGTCTTTAGATCCCTGGTA